AATAAAGCTCCCCAAAAAATATTCCCCGCCCAAGTCCGTGAAGTCCGCTTTCCCACCCATTTCCATGACGTCATGGCCGCTTTTAGTTAATTGCTGGGAAATTATTGTAATGCGTGAAAAGTAAAAAGTCAAGAGTAAAGTAAAAGTAATTACTCTCGGCGCTGGGCGTTGGGTTCTGGGAGTTGGGAGCTGGGAGATGGTCCCCCGGGAGCGGAACGGTCCCAGAACATGCAACCGAGAACACGGTGCCCAGTGGCCTGCTTTCGGGGCGAGTTGAGTAGGTCGTGAGTGGATTAGAGTGGCCTGGGGGGGGGGGGCCTTGTTTGCTCAATTGTTAGAGAGATAAGATACGGTTAGTGGGTTGCTGGGTTGGCTGGCAGGTGGCTGGTGGCTAGTTGGGCTAGGTACAGGTCCGAGGTCTGAAGAAGGGGCAGTTCACTGTCGGAAGTGAGTCTCTGTCAGCCTCGAATGGGAATCGGACTTAATGAGTCCTCTCTTCTGTCTGCCCATACAATTATCGGGTCTGGCGGGCCATAATTGGCTTATCATGGAAATAATACTGGTGGCACTGATCTGGGCCAGCGTGTTTCTCGGCCCAAGGTGAGCCAGAGCCAGCGATCCGCTGCCCAGAACATTGAACTGCATCGGAGACACCTATTTACGGATGCCAGCCCTGGCCGGGGGCAGTTATTAATACTCACGGAGGTCTGTACTATGAATGTATATAGAAATACCAGAAACGAGCTCAGGTTCCATTCGAGCCACTCGTCGTAACTCACAGCTCTGTGGAGGGCGCCAATTAAGAGTGTGACTTTATGGCCGGCCATTAAAAATGTGCCAGTAAGTGCCTCGATCGTGTTTTGGGCGAGCAAGCCTTTGTCCAGAGCTTAGAGCCACTGCCACTGCTACTGCTACTGCCTCTGCTACTGCAGTTTGCAGCTCCAATCTCCAACTCTCCTTTATGAACTCTCGTAAATCTCTATAATTTATGCTACTTTTGGGGATATACTCCTAAACGCCAGTTATGACCTGGGTTATAGGAGGTTACTACTATTTCCAAGTTGGGAGAGTCTATATCTCGGATATGGGGAAAGCCAGTGCCTTTCTGGGGACTTGCTTTCCGAACTTCTCCAAGTTCCAGAAGAGAGCCAGCTCTGTTTGCACTTCGACTGTTTGGCACTTGGATGCGAGGACGCCCCAGACTGCTGGGAATTGTTTGCTGCAACTGGGAGATCGGGAGACTGGGAGACTGGACAACGAGCGACCTAAGCAAATAGGCAAACAAGCCTCGTAAACCAACAACAGCAAACGGGAGGCCGAGGAAGGAAAGCTCTCCCAATGCAGAGTCAATTAGATTTCGTTGCCGCGGCCTGTCATTGAACTCTGCCAGCGGACGGGCCGGACAGATAGAACCGAGTGGTGTGGTGTGGAGTGGTGGCGAGGGGAGTGGAGTGGCGAGGCCCGCCTATCTCTATTCCCGCGTCGCACTTTGTGTACACTTCCATCCATAAATCAACGCTAACCGAGCGGGGCGGCAGCCTCAGCTTCGACAGTGGATCTCTAACCTCGTTTTAACCTTCTCTCCCTTACCACCTCACAGCCCCCACCCCCATGGCATCTGCCTCGGAGCGGCCCCTGCCCTTCGTGGTGCGTTGCACAGATGACACTGGCCGGACACTAGTCCCCAGTGCGGTGCCAAAGTGCCAATTACCTCCAAAAAGAAAATAAAAGCCAACGAAAACAAAACCTTTTCGAGCCACGCAATGACTCATTCAGTGAAGCGTTGAAAGGCCATTAAAGAGCCAGCTCCAGCTCCAGCTCTAGCTCCAGCGCTAGCTAGCCCGGCTAGCAGTTGCTGTTTGGCAGTCTTCGGGCCCTGTTTACACCTTGTCCGAGTCCCACTTACCGGACATGGTGCGCATCGGGATGGACGGAGGCCTGGAGCCCCTCCAGGTTAGCACCCACTGATCTTCCAGCTTCTTGAAGTGAATCATATTTAGTCAAAGTATTTAGGCGCTAACTTCATACTTACTTTGGCCTGGTATTCTTTTGAGAATATTATCATTAATATTGGAATCACTCGTAGTTCTGAGGGAACTCATAACCAATCAGCTTGAATACAAAGTGAATAGTTTTTACTTGTTTCAAAGTATTTAAAATACTTGAAGAGTGAAGTGAGCTCGAAACTCTTGCTATTTTATGTTGCTATTCGACAATAAAATCAATACTAAAAATATTCAATCAGTACAATCAATCGGTTTGAATGCAAAGTGAATCGTTTATACCTTATTCAGAGTATTTCAGATACTTGAGACTGAGTTCGAAACTCAGTTACTGAAAAACAAACTGAATAAATGAATTTGGTTTATTATTCTATTGACAATAATTAACCATCAGCACTCAAAAAAAATAATCAAAACTCATAGTCAAACAGTTTGATTGCTCAGTGAATAAAGGCATTTTATTCAAAGCTATATGAAAAGGTTCAGTTCTAAAACGACACTCATATTGAAACTGTTTGAAATCATCAAGTGGAAAGTGTCCAAACACTCAGTTACTGGATAAAAAACCTATTTTGTATGGGTCCTACATCTAATGACCTATCTTATTGGCAATAATGTGAATACTTTTAAAAAAAACTAGTTTCTTTGAATATTAAAAAAAATAATATTGAAATAGTTTGAATATAAAGTTCCGAGTATTTGAGAGATCAAAGGATCCGTATATACAAAGGCAGTTTTTAAAAATACGGTCCTTCTAAAAATATATATATATTTTGATGGTTTATGTTTTTATTTTTTATTAAATCTGTATATTTAAACCCTACTTGCTGTAAGTCTACTTGCTAATCTTGAACCTTATAATACCCAGTGCTTACTTTCTTAAGGGAGTAATACACCCGACATTTTCCATATTTATTTTTTTGTTTACTTTTAAAGAGTGTGTTTCAATTAAAAGGCGTTCAATGGAAAATAACAAAGCTACGTTTTATTTTTAAATTTAAATTTTGACTATTTTTATTCCTGCTCTTGCTACTTTTTTAGTTACTTTTAAAGAAAGTGAGTCTGAATTCTGAAATTCGAAACGAAAATTCAAAATACAATTTTTAAGGTAAAGATGGAGCGGATTTTTATGAATAAATATACAAAAATGAATTTATTTTTGAGTGAAATGGCGTTTTCCATTTTAAAGCGTTTTTTGAAGTTAATAAAAAAGTTATTTATCAAAAGTGAAATATTTAAAAATAAAATAAAAGTTGCTAAAACACATAAATTTGAAGTCTAAAGGTTTTTAATTCCTTTTTTTTGTATCTACATATATGATCCATCATTCGGTTATGATAGGCCCCGAACTTGTATTCTTTTTTAGAAATTTCAGAATAATTGTTAGCGTTGCTGTAATATATAGACTATATACTATACTCTATAGTTAGTACTACAGTATATAGTATACTCTACTACAGTACTATCTATACTCTTCTTCTATCCTTACTATACTAGTACTATATTTACTGTACTATATGTACTGTACTATGTACTGTACAATCCCATACTATTTATTTAGTCTCAGGTTATACATATGAGGTGTTGACAAAATATTTCTAATCAATAATACAACTATAGTACTACCAGTAATAATACTTTTGAGTGCAGAGTACAATAAATAAATAAATAAATATTAAAGTTTCAGTATTATAAAGTAGTATAATAATATGAAAGTAAAGTATATGCTGTTTATTCCAATCAATAGATGCTATGATATGTTTCTTAAAAACCCTGCAAAAATGTGACTTTTTCACACAAATAAAAGGTTCATCCCCCCCTAAAAATAATAAATCATCAACTACGATAGTTGCAAGTGGTGTACTTTCCAGATGCAGATGCCACATTTTGTGGTGAGTCTCTATTAATGAGGTGTTTGGTCAAAATGCCATTTATTTAGGAGCTTTATGAGGCAGGATGGGCGTGGGCGTGATGTACGGTATGGGGTGTGGAGCCATGAACTGTTGCCTAAACTCCATGACTACGAGTACCGGGTATTAAACACTAACCCTCCCCTCCCCTACCCCGTGGCTGTCCAGCATGTGTCATTGTTTTGTTGAGAGTTGTGTGTGGTGTGTGGGGATTCTTCGCTGCGTGTCATTTCTTCCTTTTCCTTTCCTCCTCCACGTGGCCAGTTGCCAGTTGCCAGTCATTGTAATTGTTTTTTGCCCTTTGGCCCCCGCCCTACGACCCTGCAGGCCCGCCTGCCTGTGTTCTTTGTCGCTTTAGTACATGACTTGTGCCTTGGAAAATGACTTAACACTGGCCAGCCAGTCAGTCAGTCAGCCAGCCAGCCAGCTAGCTAGTCAGCTAGTCAGCTGCAGCAACACAACTACCAACAATAACAAAAAGCATAAAAAAAAAAACGAAAAATAACAAAAAAACAGCATCAGTGGCGATAAAAAACAGAGCTCGACTATCAGCAAAGCTGCTGGAGAAACGCCAAAAGTAGAAGGGGAGGGAGGGGACTGCATAGGGGCAAGGGGCGTGGCAGTCAGTCAACTCTTGCTTTCCAGCCAAACGGAAATGTGTAACGTGTTTGGGCCGAAAAGTGACGCCGCCACTGAGATAATAAATAATTGCGAGGGGGGGCTGGGAGGGGGGTTAGCCAACTGATGAGCGGGGAGAGGGGAGTGGGGGAGGGAGCAACAGCTGCTGCATTGGTAATCAACAATCGGCAATCGCTAATCGCGGAATTGTCATTCGGCAGCGGACGCTCCAATGTGGCACGTTCCTCATGAAAGTAACTGCGGCAATCGGCGACTGATTTAACTTTCTGGGCTTCGGGGTCTGGGGTCTGGGCTTTGGGGCCTCTCCAGCAGAGCTGTGGAGTCTCCTAACCTAGTATGGTCTTAGATATGGAGGCTTCCAGTTGCAGAGAAGAGGTGTCATCCCAAATAGAATAGAAAACTGCAAGTCCCTCAGCCGATTACTAATCCTGACCTTCTCTCTTTGCAGATCAACCTAAAAAGCATTTTGGTGGGCAGTGCTGCCAGCGGGGCAGGAGCCGCAGGAGCAGGAGCAGGAGCCGGAGACTCCCCTGCGGGCGTGGGCGCGGCCGCGGGCGTAAAGCTGCGCAGGCACAGCGACCGACCCTTGACCGGCGAGGCCAGCATTCAGCAGTCGCACACCTATCGCATCTCCATGGCCAACCTGGAGGACACGCAGGAGTCGGAGCTGGACCAGATCCTGGGCGAACTGAGCCTGCTGGAGCACCAGATAAGCTACGACCAGGCGACGCTCCTGCTCGGAGGGGCGGGAGGAGCCGCCAACATGTCGGCCGGAGCCGTTCGTCCTGGGCTTCCGGGCAGCGGCGGCGTTAATCCGATGCCGTCCATGTCGGCCGCCTCGTCGCGCTCCCACTCGCGCACCAACAGCACCATCTCGGCGGACGTGAGCAGCTGCTCCTCCTCGGGAGTCTCCGAGAACGGACACAACAGCAGCGGGGGTGGCGGAATGATGGGCAGCCTCCAGACGCCGCCGCCGCCGCCCCTGCCTCTGGCCGGCATGACGATGGGCATCACGCTGGGCGTGGTGACGCCCCGGGAGCCGCGCACCGAGTCCCCCGACAACGACTCCGCCTTCAGTGACACTGTCTCCCTGCTGTCCAGCGAGTCGTCTGCTTCCTCGAACGCCTCCCTGCAGCAGCAGCAGATCCAGCAGCAGCAGCAGCAGATGCAGCAGCAGCTGGGCGGAGGAGCTGCGCACGGGCACCGCGGCCAGGTAGCCAGGAACGGCAACAACATCTCCAAGGCGGCCAAGATCCAGCTGGCGCTCCACAAGCTGGAGCACCCCTCCATCCGGAGGCTGTTCGTCAAGGCGTTCACCGCCGACGGGGCCTCCAAGTCGCTCCTGGTGGACGAGCGCATGATCTGCGGCCACGTGATCCGCCTCCTGGCCGACAAGAACCACGTTCAGATGCAGCCCGTCTGGTCGCTGGTCGAGCACCTGGGAGATCTTCAGATGGGTGAGTTGGGTCTCAGATGGGTTCTTCCAGTCTTCCAGCTTCCAGGATAACTTGACTAATCTCTGTTCTTTCCACGCAGAACGCCTCTTCGAGGACCACGAGCTGCTGGTGGACAACCTGATGAACTGGAACTCGGACGGAGGCAACCGCGTGCTCTTCCAGCAGCGGTCCGACAAGGTGGCGCTGTTCGCCCGCCCGGAGCTGTACCTGCCGGGCCCCCAGATGGCGCCCGGCTGCCAGCACGACGAGCAGACCCGCCTCATGCTCCTCGACGAGTTCTTCGAGGCGCCCGTCCAACCCGCCTTGCAGCTGGACGGCCCCCTCTACATGAAGGCCGACCCGAAGAAGGGCTGGAAGCGCTACCACTTCGTCCTGCGCACCTCCGGCCTCTACTACTTCCCCAAGGAGAAGACCAAGAACGCACGCGACCTGGCCTGCCTGACGCTCTTCCAGGGCCACAACGTCTACACCGGACTGGGCTGGCGCAAGAAGTGGAAGGCGCCCACGGACTTCACTTTCGGCTTCAAGGCGGCGGCGGACTCCTCGCTGGGCAAGTCCTGCCGCTCCCTGAAGATGCTCTGCGCCGAGGACATGCCCACGCTGGACCGTTGGCTGACGGCCATCCGGGTGTGCAAGTACGGGAAGCAGCTGTGGCTCAGCCACAAGATGCTCCTGGAGGACCTCTGCCTGGGTGGCGGCAACGGCACCGGCCCCGGCGGTCGCGCCGACGGCGATGCCGTGTCCCAGTCCAGCTTCGCCGTCTCCATGCGCAGCGAATCGATCTCGAGCATCTCGTCGGCGGTGCCTTCGCAGTGCGGCAGCGTCTCCTCGGCCATCAGCAGCATGTCCTCGACGATCTCGACCAGCGGCCGCACCTCGCGCGCCTCCAGCAGCAGCTCCAGCGGCTGCCTCTCCGACGATAACAACGGCTTCGACTCTGAGTTCACCACCGGGACCATCAAGCGCAAGCCCTCGATGAAGCCCAACCTGCCGCTGACCACCATGACGCGCCAGCTGAAGGAGGTGGGCGAGATCACCATCTGCGAGAGTGCTGGCGGGGACGCGGGCAGTTCCCCGGAGAGAAGCGGCACCCTGACGCGTCGCCACAGTCGCCGCAAGTCGCAGGAGAGCAACGGCAGCGGCACCCTCAAGCGCCGCCCAGTTCCGGTTGTGAAACAGCAGCAGCAGCAGCAAGTGGCGGAGCCGGTTGTACTGGGAGGCAGTGCCTCCTCCAACTCGTCCAGCAGCAACTCGACGCCCACGCCCACGCCTAGCATTTGTGCCAAGCCGCCGCCCGGCGATGTGGCCTCGATGATGTGTTCCTCCACCCTGTCCCTGGACTCGCTGCCGCCGCCGCCCCCTCCGGTCGCCTTCGAGGGAGCCGACGAGCAGGATGTGTACGGTTCTCAGCTATCGCTGGCCTCACTGCCGCCACCTCCGCCGCCCGAGGACGTGCTGGCCATGACCTATGCCGCCGGGCCGCCCAGTCCGGCCACGCCCACGAACATGAATCCGGCGCCTCTGGGCATGATGGGAGTGCCCAACAGCAACGGCGCTTTGCCGCCGGCCGTCCCGGCCAAGCCTGTAAAGCCCGCCGGAGTGCTGAAGGCTGCTCCGCCGTACAAGGCGCCTCCCGACTACGTGGGTCCCGCCCAGCAGCAGCAGATGCAGGCTGGTCCGCCGCTGCCGCCGCCGCCGCCCGCCCAGAAAAAGGTATCCTTCGCGGACTCGCCGGTGCTGCTGCGCCGGAAGATGTGCTCCCCGGAACCGGTGCTGCCCCAGCGCTCGCCCAGCACCACGCTGAGCTGTCACTCGAGCGTGTCCAGCGGCGGGTCCGGATCCGCCTACCACATCTACGCCCCGGGGCCAATGCTGCCGCCGCGCACGGACCTGGCCCGCCTCTCCAGCCAGAGCAACGGCAGCAGCAGCGGTGAGGTGACGTCGCCGAAGCGCCTGCAGGAGTCGGCCTCGAATCCGCCGCGCGACTTCCTCAAGGATCTGCAGCGGGTGATGCGCAAGAAGTGGCAGGTGGCTCAGAAGTGCAAGCTGGAGCCAGCCACCACACCGCACGAAGTGCTGGGCTTCCGCGACTTCAGCAACGAGGACCTCCTGGCCGCCCACAACCTCAATTCGGGGGCGAACTCGTCGCACTACTACCGGGAGACGGCCAACGTGAGCCACTGGGTGCGGGAGCACTACGAGTACGCCCACAACGCCCTCTACGAGAACGTGCACGGCCAGACGAATGGCGCCGGCCAGGTTGGGGCCAATCCGATGGTCAACATGGCCATGAACCCAGGCGCAGGCGATGCTGCCGGCTCCCCGCCGCCACCGCCGCCGCCCGCCATGGGCGCGGCCAAGAAGCGTCCGCCGCCACCGCCTCCGAAGCGCAGCGACAAGACGCACCTCACCAACCGGGTGTAAGAAGCAGTGCAGTAAGTGGCATTTAGGATCTATTTTCGAAACAGACTAACCCGTATCCCCCTTCCAGGACACTTGGACATTCTTTCACTAAAAGGAAGGCCTTGTCGGCAGGCAGAGCGAGAAGAATCATAAAATTCCTATTTACGTTTACGGAGCGCAACATTAAAAGAACACGACCTCGAACACACTATTGGTACGCGTCGCGTACGACTATATATATCTACTAGGGATATATGCTATCGCCACGCCCACTTCTCTCACACAAGTATTATACACAAATCGGAGAATCAAACTCATCCCCGTCGTAGCCCATTCGATTCTCGCTTCAAGAGCCATTCGGAATATCAGAAGGAAGGAGGAGCGGACTCGATCGTCAGCTCGTCTGTCTTAGAGAAAATATTTAAGCTAAATTTTAGATTGTAAAAAGCGAGAGCAACCTATATTGTAATGAATTTTTTTTAACGATAGTGCATTATTTTACAAAAATAATCAAACGAGCGTCAGATTAAGTGTACATTGTTTTCGATTACGATTTCTATTTCTATTCTTCATTCGCATTTGTTTTTAGTTGCTATTCGGTTTTTAAACTCATCATCTCTTGTTTTAGTTGCGATTTCTTGTATCCGATAGTAGACGTTCTTCAGGCGCATGAAATGAGCTGCGCTAGCAATGGAAAGCCTTATAAATGATATAAGAATCCCGAATGTATAACCCCTCATATAAGCTTCTAAACTCATATTTCTGTTATCAAAAAGCCTCGTTTGATCCTTGATTCGAAACTTGAGCCCCACATAGATTAGCCAAGTTCATCCATAGCGAAGAGTGTATCTTCTCATTGTACTTATAGGCCCGGATCAACAAGCGGATCAGCCATAAAGTCCTTTTCCCTAAGAATACAATGTGGGATATGCATATCCAAACTAAAGTATGTTAAAGGCAATAAGCGCGAGGGAATTATTTCTGTACACAAATCAAACATTAATTGTAATAATTGTAACAGTAGGCATTAGTTTTGCTGATTTTCGGTTCATATCTGTACGTATAGCAAAGAAAATAAATGCCTTCGGCCTTGGTAGTTGTAATCGCGGCTTTCAACTCTCATTAACTGTTTTGTGTGCGTTCTTTGTAGTAACTTGTTTGCCATTTGTTTTGTGTGATTGTGTACAGCAGGAGACAGCCATATACCTATGATAAATAGACGATTACGAACCATAGTCCTGAAGCACAAGCTAGCAGTCTAAGCTTGCTTCTGGGTCTTTTGTTATCGAACCATGATCGAGCCCATAAATCGACTAACCTCCAGCTATCCTAGTAAAGTGTTCAGCCCCCTCCCAGCCTTGTTTTTGTTCCTCGTCCTCTGTCATATATCCTCACACACGCATACCTATCTAAGTGAATATTAATGTAACTGTACGTTTTTTTTTAAATAAATTATGGTGAATTCGCATTTTACTTTCCTACATAAACAGAACTAAAGGGTATTATGCATATAGATCTAGACTCTAGAGATAAAACAAACATACTTGACTAAAGGAAATGCCAATTTTTTAAAGCTTGAATTTATATAAAATATATATGAAGATATTTTTTAGAAACTATACGCTATATATATATCTATATATGTAGTAGGAGTGCAAGGATGTGCCATAGGCGCCGTCTTCACGAAAGGAATACTTTGCAACATTTTTTGCTAAATAAATGAACTAAAATCGAAGTGAATACTTAGACACTAAGTCGGAAAACAGAGCATAAAGAAGGGGCTTAAATCAAAGCTAATGAAGTATATGATATATGGTATTATATATGCATATGGGAAGGCCATGGAAGTGGAAGCTAGAAACTTACTTAACGCTTAAACTAAAAACGAGCATTTTAAGGATCATTTTGTTTGCCATCTTACGAGAATATTATTTATTTTATTTGTTTCCGTTCGTTTGCTTACATACATATATTAAATATTTGAATTTCAATGTATCGATAAAAGTGAATTAATTAAGTAAAGCAATGTTCTTACAAAACGGACAGGAAATCAAACAGAATGCAGAATCCTAATTATATTGAATAAGCGAAAAGTTAAAAAAAAATAAAAATAAAAAACAATTTGCAGCCACAGATCGAACCGAAATGAAAGACTTCAACTGCAGGAGAAATAATAATTAAATTTATAATTCAGCAAATCATTCTATGCATTAACTACAAATTTACAACAAAATACAGAAACATGAAACACACAACAACAAACTACAACTAAACTAAAAGTAAAAACAATTAAAATAAAATTTAAATAATAAACACAAGAAATTCTTTGCAGGTCTATTATATAGTGAACAGTGTTGCCATTTGATACGATTTTTTCCACAAATAAAAACACATTTGATATAAAAATATATATTACTATATATACCTTATATTCCGATCGAATGGAATTTTTTGTAATTTTGATAGAAACATTCAAAACAAATAAAAAAGAACAAACAAAAACTGTGCGAAAGAAACGTGTTATGAAAACTATGAGAAATAAATGCAAGAAATGCCTAAGAAAAATGAAAACCAATGGTTTTTCTTAATTAATACAAAATTTATTTATTTTATAATTACAATTATTATATTTTATATAAATATAATATTTATAATTACAATTATTCCTCTCCTCGACCCTGAAGTATGTACTGAGTCTATAAATACCTATGAAATGAGTCCCTCGCCTGTCTGATTTTGGGCAGATGTCATATAGGATTCTGAAAATATCTGATATCCATTTTTGTGACGAAAAAATTCAGTATAGGTGTATAAAACTACACATTAAAAACTTTTCTCAAACTATAGATTTTCTTTTACGTGCCGAATCAGAATAGTTTTTAATGTATACGGGCTTGACAAAATTGTGTAATCATATAATATAATTATCTCTTCAGTTAGCGGATCGTCCCATATATAAGCGGTATTTCATAAGTTGCGTCATCTAAAGGGCTGTTTCCAAAAGTAACATAATTTAAATTTTTAGACCCAATTTGAGAAAAAAAACATTTTTCACTATTTGTCACATTGGACAGTTTAAATGACTGAAAGTATGGTTTGGTAGCTTTACTGGTTTTTATACCCTTTCTGATGGTATTATTATTTTTGTCAAAAATAAATAAAATTTTGGCAGTAAAGGAGACATCTCCAAACCCATTAAGTATATATATTCTTGATCAGGGATACCTCCTCAGTTGATAGAAGCGTTTCCGCCTGTCCGACAGACTGTCTGTCTCAATTTGAAAGCTATCGACTTGAAACTTAACACACACCATTCTTTCCTTTGCACGGAGTATATAAGTCGGAATGGCTATATCCTATAGCTGCCATATGTTTAGGTGTTTTAGGAGTTATAGAGTTGGTATTTCCTAAGGATTCTAATTTTGTTAAAGTGATCCGACCTACCTACTTTGCATATGTACATAGATTCTTTTTACTATTTGCATTTTTTTGAGCTCTGAAATGGGATTGGATCCTAGGAATGGAGCATCCTTCCTTAGGCTATTTTAACTCGTCCGCCAGTTTAATTTTTAGATTTGTTAACCCCACAATGCAGCGGGCTTTATTATTTCGTTATTATTTGAATCTTTGTGAGCTATTCTCGTTCCTTTTGGCCTTTTTTTAAGTGAAATTATATTCGATATTTTCTTTTCTTTTTATTTTTTATTTTTTTAGAACAGTAAGGGTTTTTATATGGGTTTCTAATTTTGAATGACGATTGGAATGACGACAGCGTCTAATGCCATCTATTTATTTGGTTTTACGGCGTATAATATTGTTTCAGTTGACGAATAATTTGTGAAATTTGTATTGATCCTGATCATATATGTCTTCATATCTTCGTATATTCTTCGTTTATACTGTATAGGGTCGGAGATGTTTCCTTCACTGCGTTGCACATTTTTGACGAATATTATAATACCCTTTTCAATGTATGATCAACGACTTTGGAATGGAATGAACAAAAATATGGAAGGAGATTATTAATATAGCAGATTTATTTAGATGAAGATTTCTTTTCCTTAATGGAAGGAGAAGTCCCTAATGATCTGAGGAGTTCATGTAATTTGGCAAAATTTCTCCAAGCAATAAGGAAATAAAGACTCAAATCCCAATTCTGAATGATAACATATTGGCCGGCTAGGGTCAAAGGGCAGCTTAGAATTAGGAGCGATGCGATAATGAGAAATCCAACACCTTGGCCTGCGGCGGCTGCTTCCATTTTGAGTCATTGCCAAATTTTTGGCACCCGGACAGACCCGTAAATCATATTACTGCGGCATCGTCTTGTGGACTTTACGCCAATTGAACTCCTGTACGCCTGCAGTTTCCCCCATCGAGTGCTGGGTCCACACCCACACCCACTCGTGTGGGTTTTTGATTTTGGCAACCCTTGCGGCATTTGGCTAACCCTTTCCTTTCGACCAAATCCTTTTTGGCCAGCTCCCATATTTATGTGCCTATGTACACGCACGACGGTGTCGCTCGGAGCGGCCAGAACGGAAGGAGTTTGATATTCTAATGGCTTCTCAGCGGGCGGGGAGGGGATGGGGCCTAGGCCCCATCGGATTGGGGCAAACGTGCCAACATATGCAACCGAATGTGGCTATGGCTTCATATACTCACTTCGCTGGATGCGAGGAACAGTGGATGATATTGGTTCATTAGAGTTTTTAAAATGTTTTTAAAAATTTTAAAATTAACATACATTTTTCTTTCTTTTGAAGAATGTGAAAGCTATAGTATAATACAAAAGCTTACTAAAAATTTAAATGGTCAATCAGGTTTTTTAATGTTAAATAGTTTGTATTTTTGCTTTGATGAGGAGGTGATCCAGAATCAGATCAAGAATATATATATTTTATAGGGTCGAGTATGTCTCCTTCACTGGGAGACAGTAATAATACCCTCTGCAAGAATATAACAAGTGAGTACAGCTATAGTCGAAGTTCCCGACTGTATTACACCCGGTACTGATCTCATACACCCACAATTTAACTAACCTTTATACGATTTGGATGAAATTTGTTTTTATTAACTATAAAATAAGTAATATATAGTTATATATTAACTATAAAAATAGTTTGGCGATTTGTAAAGGTGGGAGGGGCATGGAAAAATTTTGAAAAAAAACTACCTGCGTGGGCATTGTGGCTCCATGCCAAATTCTATAGCTCTATCTCTTATAGTCTCTGAAATCATAAGAAAATATCATAGAAAAAACCAATTATTAGAATACAGAGCTACCGCATTTCCGATCAATAGGTTGTATGGCAATTATATGATAAAGTCAGCCGATCCCGCCCGTTCCGACTTATATACTGCGTGGACGGGAAAGAAGGGTGTGTGCAAAGTTTTTTTTAGGGTCTTTCAGAATGGAAATGGCTTGTGCATCAATTAGAGCATCAGCTAGCATTCCTGTATTCATCATAAAGCTTAGAGGCCCAGACGACCGAGGGGCGCTCGAGAATCGATTTATTAGTATATATTAAGCTATTTGTAATTTATTAAGCTAAGAGGAGCTAGTAAGGAAATTTAAAATACTAGATTTTAAATTTAATGAACAGGAAACAGATGGTATAGAGTAGAGTTCATTGTAGTCCATTGTACATAAGACACTAAAAGGGTCGTGCTGTGCATATGTCGAACTACAAGATCAGACTGAAGACTGCATTAGGCAGAGATGAATTTGTATTGAAGACAAAGCTTCACATCATCTGCATATGTATGCTCATAAGAACTAGAGAGTTCGTTAAAGGCAAGTCATTTATAATAAATAATAAGGGGCCAAGATGACTTCCTTTAGGGACGCCAGGTGTAGCACAGACCACGCGGGAATGTGCATTTTTTGAGATTCTTTGTATTCTTCCATTTAAGTAGCTGGAGATCCCATTAAGAGGTCTGTAGAGAATCCCAGCATATTCAGTTTACTCAACAAGAGTGAGTGATTGACTGAATCAAATGCTTTGCTAAAGTCTGTGTAAATAACATCGGTTTGAAATCCCTTTCCTTTTTCCCTTTTTCCCATCTATGACAAAGGATGTCAACTCCAGTAAATTCGAGGTGGTGAAGCGACGCCTAATGAAGCCATGTTTACATCGAGAGATGATCGAAGAGAAAAGGTGTTGCAAATGAGGAGTAATTCATTTTTCAAATAGACTTGGAATTTCCGACAATTTATGTAAAAGAATTATGAAAGATTCCTTCCACTCAAGGGGAAAAATCGAGGTTTCCGAAGATAAGTTGAAAGGTCTTAGAAGGGGTTTGCACAGAGCCCTGGCACAGTATTTTAGCACACAGCCTGGTACTCCATCGAGGCCTGGCGAATAAATGGGTTTGACCCTTAGAAGATCAGATAATAAGCTATTCTCGGAGAAAAGCGGTCGATAGCTCAACGGTCAAGGATTTTATTATTTTTATACCCTTGCAGAGGGTATTATAATTTTGGTCAAAAGTGTGCAACGCAGTGAAGGAGACATCTCCGACCCTATAAAGTATATATATTCTTGATCAGGATCACCTCCTGAGTTGATATGAGCATGTCCGTCTGTCCGTCTGTCTGTCTGTCCGTCTGTCTGTTTCTACGCAAACTAGTCTCTCAGTTTTAAAGCTATCGGGATCGGCCGACTATATCCTATAGCTGCCATATAACTGATTGATCGGAAATGGTATAACTTCGGTGTTTTTAGAGCTAGAGAGTTCAAATTTGACACAAGAGCTATTTTCGGCAAAATATTACGACATGCCAATTTTATAAGGATCGGCCGACTATATCCTATAGCTGCCATATAACTGAACGATCGAAAATGACCCAACTTTCGTCTTTTTGAAGATAAAAAGCTGAAACTTAGTACCAAATTTCATTAGGATTGGCCGACTATATCCTATAGCTGCCATATAACTGAACGATCGGAAATGGTTTTTGGTAGAAATACCAACTTTGGTATTGTTAAAGATAGAAGTTTGGGACTTGTTTTAAATTTTGTATTATAATAAATTGGGTTATATTATCATATTCTAATAAGGATCGGCCAACTATATCCGATGTTTGCGATATATATCCGGTTTTAACTGCAAGGGTATATCAACTTCGG